CCTGCACCCTGAGGGTTTTCTCGTCATTCCAGAGATCATCATTTTTTAGGAGACTTGTGGGCGGAAAACCCTGAAACTGCAAGAAACGTGCAGACGACCAGGCGAGCTGCTCTACAAAATCAAGGGAATTGATATTTCTTTCGAGCTACGACAATCATCCGATGTCCATCAGTACATCCTGTGTATAAAGTGTTTATAAAGTATTTTAGAATGCCTCTCAACATTTTTGACAAAGACTGGTTGTCTATAAACATGACTTCTTCACAGAAGTAACTCAAAATAATAGTTAACAGTTCTGTCATCACTAATTGAACATCAGGCACAAATGATTTCTTTCACGATTTGGGATGATGGTTAATCTAGACAGACTCTCTTTAACGTTTTAATAAAGTATTTTAGGATTAAACTTTTTGTGAAGACCTGTCTCAGAACGGAGGCCAAAGATACAGCTGGGCACGACTTGCTGGACTGCATAGGTAATTGTGTGAAAGGTACACGACTAAGCTCTATTCTCCAGGCGTAGTTCAACAGTTTTGTGATCAGCCTGAAAGTTTTGTTGAATTCACGATCTTTGAAGTTTTCTGCTAAGCATTACAAGTTGACAGATCCATGAAAAGAAAATATTTTGCAAAATGAAGACCTTCGAAAACGTTGCATCGTGGAAATGTCACTTCATTGTTTATTATGGTTGATATTTACCAGTAGAGATGACACCTAGTCCAGAACACAGCGCTAACAATAGCTGTTCAGTGTTGAAAAGTTCAACTATGAAAGATAAATTTGCTTTTTGCCAAGACTGTGTTTTTCCTGCTACGTTAAATGGAACAATCGTTCAGAAGAAAAGCTATTTATTACAAATCGCCAGTTCTTTGAAACCAGGAACGTGGCAGAGAAAGGACCGTCTCGTCATGTCGTTTAAACTTGACGGTTCAGCCACACGTCACGTGGGAGCGAGCAGATTTTGCCCACCCGTGACTTTTGGGAGAAAAACGTCTCCTCTTCTAGCAAAATGATGTTTACATAAAAGCGACAGTCACCAAGCAAGTGCTTACACAAGAATTCCGGATTTCACAAACAATAAGCATACCAATTCCGGGTGTTGTTGAAACATCTATTAGCAATGCAGTTGAAAGGAAGCTTATCCTAGGCAAAAAACATATTTTATTATCAATTGTATAATATACATGGGGCCTAATTTACAAGATATATCAGGACACAAACGTGCTACCGATATTTTATTTCCAAAATGACATATGACTCAAATTAGCATTCCATTTCAAGAAGAGAGACAACTTTTCTTTCCGTGTATTACATTTACACAGCTGTGCAGGGCTTTCTGTGGCAAAGTAAAATAATCGATATAAAAGTGGATCCGGCTCAAGTACTAGTCACCGGTAGGTCTGAATTTGTTGGTGGAGATATACTCAGCCAGTCACCATCGCCAGCACCACATAAGACAACCAGCTGTGGTCTAGATAGCTGTACTGTACGGGAGATGTTTCCAATTCATGATCTGAATCTACGCCCTCTTGTCTAGTAGAAGGTGGCCTTGCATCAAGAATTCTGCCATATAACAATGATATTGCTGACAAAATGCATCAGTTCTTTAAAGACTGTGATTGGTTCACGATAGCATCCCTTTATTTTATTTCCCCCACACATCACGACCGAGGGGGATCCTACAGAACTTACTGTACACACTGTTCTCTACTCTTCATGTTAACACTCCAAGCCCGAGAGAGATCTGGCCAGATACTTCATTACAGACTTGCAGAACGGCAGTCCAAGAGACATTTGGCAAAGTTCCCCCATACAGACGTTGAGAGATACTCAGTGATATCTCCTTTTCATTTAAACTCATCACGCCTGAGGGAGATTCTTCAGAAATAGAGATGTTGAGAGGCACTCAATAGTATCTCCTCTTCATTTCAACACATTACCATGAGGGACATACAGACGTCGAGAAGCACTCAGTGATATCTCCTCTCCGTTTAAACTCATCACACCTGAGTGAGATCCTGCAGAAATACAGACTCTGAGATGGATTCAATGGTATCTCCTCTTCATGTTAACACATCACCACTGAGGGAGATCCTACAGATATACAAACGTTGAGAAGCACTCAATGGCATCTCCTCTTCATTTTAACATATCACGCCAGAGGGACATCCTATAGAAGTTACCCGATAACAGACTTGTAGAAGTTCGCAACGGTATCTCTTCTTTCCAACAGACCACACTGGAAGCAGACCCTACAGAAGATACCCCATCACGACACCGGTTTCTGGTTCGGTGCCAGTGTTTGTACAGCCATGTGGGCAGCAGCTATCATATCACTGTATAGAAACAACAGTACCAAAGATGTAAATAAAATATTATCAGCATTTACTCTCACAATTCTATTTCCGCCGAACAAGCAATCATTCCCTTCGCTTTTGTAACTTTATGATGTTATGTTTGTATTTATTATATGTACCCTCAGTGTTTTTTTCCAATGTGTACTGATTTGAACAAGTCACAGTAGATTCGTTCTGTATTGTTTCAGGTTTTTTTTCCCCTAACACTTTTCATTTATTTATCATGTCAGTGACAACTCCCAAGTCGTGTAAAACATGATTCAAGTGATAATGTGACAGTAGAAATTGTAAATTTGGTATGTTCTTGATGTTTCTGGTGTGTTTTCTGCAAGTGTAGCACTTCCAGTAATAAGTCATGTATTTTAGATCTGTCAGTAACCATCATCATCATCATCATCATCATCATCATCAACATCATCATCATCATCCTCATCATCATCATCAGCATCATCATCATCCTCATCATCATCCTCATCATCATCCTCATCATCATCATCATCATCATCATCATCATCATCCTCATCATCATCATCAGCATCATCATCGTCAGCAGCAGCATACACCATCATCCCGTAACTGCATGTCGTTGGGTCACCATGTGTTGTTGACTATCTAATCAGCTCCCTTCCCCTTTGACGACGAGATGCGACGGAATTCGTGGTTGCGTTCCCAACGCCTGACCATTCAGTCAAGTTCTGTATCCAGGTCTTTCTTGGTCTGCTTCTTCTCCTCTACTGGACCTTGTAGTATTTTTTTTTTTTTTTTGAGAGACTGCTAGGTCTTTTTATTACGCCTTATTGTGTCAGTACTTAAAAACTGTCACCACCGTCTGCTTTACCGCTTTTGGAGGAAGTGTGAAAAAGTAGAGGCAGGGGTGGGAGGAAGGGGGGCATTGAGTCTTGGGATTTCGGGAGGCTTAGCTAGTGAGTGCTGTCGCCACGGACATGTTGTGATGTTTAAGTTTGTCATAAGACAGAAAAAAATCCTCATCACCTTTATATTACAAGAACTTGTTACTTAAGCATCAGTTGAGTTGAGTTGAGTCAAGAATTGACATCACAGCACTCAGTGCATTCTCATGCATGCTCCGTCCTCATGTTCAGCTGCAAGCGCAAAGTTCCAATACTGATGGTGCTGGTGACAGTCTTGTAAAATGTCCGTCTTGCATTTCCTCTGAACTTTAGCATCAGTGTTTGCATCTAACGAGTTAAATAATAGAGTTGTGCCACAAACAGAGTTAAAGTAAGGATTAGGACTGAGTGAATGGGTGAAACAACTGGAAGAAACATATGAACGTCATTAAAAAATATTGTCAGTTGAAACAAATAAACGCACAGCAAATTTTATTCTCCTTGAGTGAATTATTGTAACGCAGACTATAGTATTAGTGGTATCACTGCACTCTATTAAACTGCAACTGAACAAACGCAAACAGAATACTCAAATATCTTTTTCTTCTTCTTTCGTTTGCTGGAAATAAATTATGTATATCTGCAATGTTGTCTCTAGTATGAACTTCATTGTCTTTTGTAATTCACTCATTGATCCGTAAAATTTAATTGCACCAATGTTTCTCTTGGCCAAAAGTTTTGCCTTGATATGTTGTATTTGGGACAGTCTTGGAGGACATGATCTGTTGTAAACTCTAATATAAGAATAAAAATATCATATAAAAGTTATGCTTTAATAATAGACATGACAGCACACTATATCTAACCGCACAGACATCACATATAAATTTGGTCACACAAGCAGCACACTTACATCTGTCTATATAAACAACACATTTACATCTAACCCCACAAACATCGCCACTAAATCTGACCACACAAACAGCACACTTACATCTAACCACACGAACAGCACACTTACATCTAACCACACGGACAGTACACTTACATCTAACTACACAGACAACACACTTGCATCTGACCACACAAACAGCACACTTAAATCTGACCCCACAAACAACATATTTATATATAACCACACAAACATCACAACTAAATCTGACCACATGAACAACAACACACTTACATTGACCACACAAGCAGCACACTCACATCTGACCCCACAAACAGCACACTGACATCTGACCACACAAATAGCACACTTACATCTGACCCCACAAACAGCACACTTACATCTGAGGACACAAACAGCACACTTACATTGACCACACAAACAGCACACTTACATCTGACCACACAAACAGCACACTGACATCTGACCACACAAGCAGCACACTGAAATCTGACCCCACAAACAGCATACTGACATCTGACCACACAATCAGCACAGTAACATCTGACCATACAAACTGCTAGATAATACTACAGTGCATTCGTAACGTATGGACCCGGCAGAGAGCCCCCCCCCCCCCCCCCCCCACCCCTCACGCCACCTTCACCAAGCACAGGCACACCATACTAATCTGTGTATGTCAAAGCACTTGCCATAAATACATATCTCATTCCTGTAACCGGATGTGGAAAGAGGCTCAGCACAGTGGTTCGCCTAGGGGCCCAGAATGATGTTTAAAACGGAGGTGTTTATGTATAGTGTTGAATGTTTACACACCCCAGTACATTGTAGTCGCAAAATGGATTACAATGTACATGTGAGAACAGAACTGGATAAACT